CTAGCAGGCAGTCTTTACGCCTATCGTATTCGCCTATCGTACTATATATATGTATACATACTATATATACCAGTTTAGTCATACACAGACAAACACACACACATATATATACATATATGTTTGTACTTTTTGCGCATTCCTTGGTTTCTATATAGAGAAATTGCATCGTTTTTCCTTTTGCACTTTAAACGCACCTAGGCTTGTCCAACTGTACGTGCATACAGTTTGGCATGCACTGCAGCAGAGTAAAAATACGCTGAATCTTATATACAAAATATATATATATACTATATATGCCATATATATCAACAAGTAATGCAACAAACTGTGTAAATAATTTATTTATTTGGGTTTCATAATATTTTCTATATTTATATTTATGTAGTTCTATATGAGTATTTTATTAGTTATAAGACCAGCGTCTGAACAGCATCACATCGGGCATAATACTATCGTTCTTTTATAGGCTCCCTCTCCATATATCATCACTCTATATTTTCGTTCTCTCCAAGCAGTTTTCTCTCTATATACAATTTATTATACCCACTCTGCGTATAGTATATCCCATATCCCTTTGTAAACCTCCTCTCCGCAAGCCACTTGTTCTGAAACCTCTTTCTCTCTTGATTCGTCTCTCTCTCTTTTTGTAGATCAGTTACTATATAGAGAGGAATCGATCCATCCCTCTATCGGCGTCTGCCTATCGATTCCTCCCTCTCTATAAATAGATAAAGGTCCCTCTATCGCTTCCTCCATCTATCTCTGTCTATATGTATATACAGCTCTCTCTACATACTCCCCCTTCTCTATGATCCCTCTCTCATCCACACTCTCTTTCTTTTCAATCCCACTTCATATAAAAAACAATCGCTGTATGGTTTTACCTTCCCCCCTATCCCTCTCCAAGTTGGCGTAGATCAGTAAGTCCGCCGAAGAGCTGCGCTGCCGCAGACGTCGCTTTGGTCCGCTGCCCGGTCGCCCGCTGCTGCTGAAGGAGCGACTGCGCACGCGTCGCCGCTTGGGTCGTTGCGAGACGGCTCCAAAGCAGGAGACCTGCTGCTCCGCCTCACTGTCGCTCAGCAAATCCCGCTGAGACAGCGTCATCTCCGACTGCAGCGTTTGTATTGAGCATTCCAAGTCACCATTTGGCGTCGTCGATGGCGTTGGCGTTGGCGTCGGCGTCGGTGTCGGCAGCGGAGTCAAGGTATGGCAATCGCTCTGCTCGGCAGCCGCGAGTCGCGCCCGCTTGCCAAAGCTGTAGCTGGAGGGATCTCTGGAGAGCTCGGAGCCAAAGTTGCTGCTGCTGCGCTCGTGCGGCATATTCGTGCCGTAACTGAGGAAGTCCGGATAGGGCAGATTCAGATTCGGCTCATGGGCGCCAAAGGCTTCGGGCGACGAGAAGGTGTGGCGCAGTCGCTGCACCCGACAGCGCTGACCATGCGGCGGCTGCTGGACCAGCAGCCAGGAGCGCTTCAGGTACGTATGCTCGGTGCAGTTGCTGCTCAGGCTCTGGTTGGTGGTCGAGCTGGGTAGCCCTAGAGTGAGTGATATATTGAGTGAATTGTCTCGAAAGGCGTCGGTACAGTCGTCCGTTGCACTGTTGTTGGTGGGCGTGGTCGCTCCAGCGGCTGCGGATAGTTCACGCCCAACGGATAGCGATGGCGGGCACGCTGCAAGCCCCACGGATTGCTGCGGCGCACTGAGGATTGCTGGCGACGCCGTGCCAGACGTGCTTGCAGCGCCTGCAAACGGGATTCTGTACTGGTAAATTAGCAAATGCAGGGAAGGGTGGAGGAGCAGGAGGAGTCTTGAATGGGGATTCAAGCAATGTCCTTACCACAAATGGCGGTGGCCAACAGCATGCGCTGTGATAGCAACTGTTGCTGCTGCTGGTGCTGCTGCTGCTGCTGCTCCAACTGTGTTGCATCCTGTGTGGTATCGGTGGAAGCGACGGCACGTGTCATCGCTGCCGCCGAGGTGCTGGGCTGATCCTGTTCCAGGCTGCAGCTGCCGTGCAGCGGCACCATCGATTGCATGGTGCAGTTACTCGGCGCACGGCTGCAGCCGCGCTCCCTTGGTCGACGTCGGCGCTGGCGTCGCGGCTCCCGCAGCTCCTGCTGCATGCCCACCTTGATGACCTCCTCGTAGTCGGGCGGCGCCTCATAGCTGGGCGGCTCATCCGGCGGCCGATCCTCGTCCTGGCGATCCAGCAGCTCACTGATCGTCTGCAAATGGCTTTGCAGCTCGCGCTGATGACGCGCCCGTACGCCCATGCGATAGAGTATCACCATCCAGCCGGAGAGCACGCCAAAGATGCCCAGGGTGCTAATGATGAATATGCCCGTGGCTGTCTTCAAGTCCGGATACTGATCGATCTTGGGGAAGTAGTAGTTGGGCTTGTGTGAGTACCAGCGGCGATCATGATGCAAGTGCGCCCAGTCCTCCTCGCAGGAGTCGGGCTCGTCGCTGCCATCGCCGCAGTGATCGAAGCCATCACAGTGGAGACGTATGGAAATGCAGTGATTATTCCCGCACAGAAACTCCGAACCAATATAGCAATCTATTAGGAGAGACCAACATTAGGCTGGAGTATTAGAAATACTCCACTCTACCCACTCAAATAATTGAAGACGCTGTAGACGATGGCCAGCTTGGAGGACATGCCGAACACTCCACGCAGTCGTATATAGTAGCCCGTCAATATGGGCGCTATATGATTCTCCTTGCTGAGTCCATTATTCGGCCACATTACGTTCTCGATTTCCGTCGCTTCGGATGTGGTGCCCTGTCTAATGGTCAGCTCTGATCGCGCTGCCATGCCATAAAAGTCATCCACACGCAATGAGATGTGCGTCTTCATCATCATGTAGTTGTTGCCCGGCTTGATGATCCAAATGCAGTCGAAAAGCCGCACATCTGTGGTATTTTCAATCATGTTCATCATGGTGATGGCGCCTCCAGGTCCAGTTACCATGCCACCACAATCTGTTGAGGTAGATATGTTCTTTACCGATGAGTCTTAAAGGACCTAGGACCCTGTCATCTTCCGTTAAATGTAAATTGAGCTTAGACCCTGAGGTCCTAGGATCCTAGCATCTTTCGTTCGACATAAGCTGATTTAAGATCCAGCTGTTCCATTCCTGACGAGTCGGATTAACCTTTAGAGTTATCTAAGCCTAGGATCCTAGCACCAATTGTGGCAAGTAGGGTTTAGTCCTTAGTGGTTCACCCTCATCGAAGTTGACTAAGCATGGCGGTTCTTAAATTTTCCTCATATAGACTGCAGCCGACCTTAGCCCAAGTCTCTACCTTCTATATATAATTAAGTTCTTACCTAAACTTAATATAAACCATAGGATTATATATTCATATTACGCTAACGGAGCTTCTTTCTCTTACGCCATGCCGTAAGCACACTTACAACAGCAATATCGATTGCATTACCAAACTAGACCGTGTTAAAGCATCGCCTAGTTCCACTTTAGTCTGCGCCTTGGCATTGAAATTTATACAACGGCCACCCAAGCACCCCACCCACTGCCCCTCAGCTGGTCTTCAATCAATAAACCAATTGTAGACCCTCAAATAGCTGCACTCACTCACCAGTGTAGGGCACAAGACGCTCGTCCTTAAGCTGCTTGGAGGAGACAAAGCTGACCTCGGCGCGAAAGCCCACGCCCGATGCGGAATTGCCACGAAACTGCAGCAGCAAGGACTTTCCGCTGCTCACTGTAATCGGCGGACGAAAGTGCTCGCCCGTGTAGGAGTCCAGCATTTGGCCATTCGAGTCAAAGATTTCCAGCGTCGAGGCGAGACCCAGCTGGAAGTCCGTAAAGTCCAGACGCACCTGGCAATTGTCCGCCTCGCAGGTGAGTATGTGCTCGATGCCATAGTCGCGCGGATAGGCCATGGGAAAATAGGGCGTCGAGATGACCTGTGGCAAGTACTTGGCGTTGCCGTTGCCCACAATGGACTGCTTGGGTGAGCCACTGACAATCTTCACATTGCCTAAAGCGAGTTCGAAAGCTGTAAAAGGGAGACCCTAGATGGGGGAGGGGAGAGTTTGACTCACGCTCTGAGAAGTACTGCAGGGAGAACACATGGGCATTGGTGGCTCTGTAGAAGAACTTGAGCTGCAGCGTTCTCGTTTTGCTGCGAAACACCTTGCCATCGCCACAGAACTCCTGCCCGGAGATGGTGGTGTCGTAGGGCGGTTCCGAGAACTGAATGTGCTCGCAAGGACACATATTGGTATTCGTGTTGCTGCAGCTCTTGGAGAAGTTGGCATGGGTGAAGGTAACCCGGATCACACACTCGGCACAGGTGACCAGCTCCAGATTGCACTGATACCACACGTCCACGGCAGTCAAGTCACTCTTGAGGCTCAGAGGTGAGCTCTATATGGGGAGTAGACGGAGTAGGGTCTCTATAGATAGAGCCAGGACAACTATCAACCTGCCAGCACTCACTCGGTAAGCCGTATTGCTCACATTCCGCGCGTGCAGCTCGCCTCGCTCGCCCAGCTCCAGGAAGTGTCGCCTGCCATTCCAGTGATTGCATATGTCCAGATCCCGATAGCTATTGGTGGGATAGGCACTGCCCGGCCAGCTAACGAGAGCCAGCACATAGGCCAGGCAAAAGCCGTAGCCCAAGGCTTTCACCAACATCCTGACTATATCGTCGTCTATATATTGAATGCTGATGCGCTGGCCACGAGCGTCGACTCAAGACTGGACGCAAATCCAATAAGCTGTGCAGCTCAAGAGCTTGCAGCAGAAGCCGCACAAGTGGAACATATATAAGAGGCGACTATAGCAAACGATTTGTGAGTGGGTGGGCGGCTGGGCGGTTGATAGGTTAAAGACCTCAAAAACAAAAAGAAACAAAATGTGGCTTGGCGGTATAAAAAATATTTATTTATTTATTTAGTATTTTAACAAAATTTAAAAATTCCACTTGGCCAGGGATACAAATTACGAAAGGTAGTTTTTTTTTGTTTGTTTGATGGGGTCTCGCAGAGACGAACGAACATGGAATCGACATGTAAAATACATAATTATAAAAAGGGTAGCAAAATCAAATATACCTAGGGTTCACATTCATACATATGTACATAGGCACAACAGGCAAATATGGACGACGAGGACATTTGAGGAGCAAGTGCTGGGAGGGTAGGGGAGCTTAAAGTGATGCCTGCTGCGTGGTGCCCTTGTTGAGGGCGATCTGCAGATTCTTGGCCAGCGTGTCCATGAACTCGAAGGTCTCCTGGTAGTCCTTGCGCTCGACAGCGCTGGGGCTGCCCTTGATGCAGATGGCCAGATCCTTGGTCATCGAGCCAGACTCAATCGTGTCGATGCACACCTGCTCGAGTGTCTCGGCGAACTGCTTGAGGGGCTGATTGTTGTCCAGCTTGGCGCGGTGAAGCAGACCACGCGTCCAGGCAAAGATCGAGGCAATGGGATTGGTGGAGGTCTCCTTGCCCTGCTGGTAAAAACGGAAGTGACGCGTCACCGTACCGTGAGCAGCCTCCGCCTCTACAGTCTTGCCGTCAGGACACAGCAGCACCGAGGTCATCAGACCCAGCGAGCCATAGCCCTGGGCAACGGAGTCCGACTGGACATCGCCATCGTAGTTCTTGCAGGCCCAGACGAAGCCGCCCTCCGACTTCATGCAGTAGGCGACCATATCGTCGATAAGTCTGTGCTCATACCAGATGCCGGCGGCCTCGTACTGCTTCTTGTACTCCTTGTTGTACAGCTCCTCGAAGATGTCCTTGAAGCGACCATCGTACTTCTTGAGGATTGTGTTCTTGGTGCTCATGTACAGCGGCATCTTGCGGTCCAGCGCATATTTGAACGAAGCATGAGCAAAGTCCACAATCGAGTCGTCCGTGTTGTACATGCCCAATGCAATGCCGGGACCCTTGAAGTCATTGATCACCTCGTTGATGACCTTGCCGTCGGTGCCCTTGAATGTGAGGGTCAACTGGCCGGGTCCGGGCACTAGGTAATCAACAGCCTTGTACTGATCGGCATGGGCATGGCGACCAATGACAATGGGCTTCTGCCAGCCGGAGACGAGGCGGGGCACATTCTTGCAAATGATCGCCTCACGGAAGACGGTGCCGCCAAGAATGTTACGAATGGTGCCGTTGGGGGATTTCCACATCTTCTTCAGGTTGAACTCCTCGACGCGCTTCTCATCGGGCGTAATGGTGGCACACTTGATGCCCACATTGTACTTCTTGATGGCCTCGGCACAGTCGATGGTCACCTGATCGTTGGTCTTGTCGCGCTCCTCGATGCCCAGATCGAATGTGTGCAGCTCGACGTCGACGAAGGGCAGGATCAGCTTATCCTTGATCGACTGCCAGATGATGCGGGTCATCTCATCACCCAGCACATCGACGACGGGTCCAGCGCGAATTTTCTGCGACATCTGTGCGGGAAAGCAAACCAAATAGGAAGGCTGTGATTTAAACAAAGATATCAACTGCACAAACCGACGACAAATACAAGATGGATATCACCTTATTGTATACGACTTGCATTTTTTTCTTAATTTTAATATTCAGCTTACTCTATAATTTAGAAAAGTAATAATAATAAAAATCATGATAATAATGTTAGACTGATAAAGATGAAATTGAGTGTTGCAAGCCAAAGTGAACTTTGATCGGATGAGAGAAAAATTGACTATAGAGAAAGCTAACTTGGGAATCCAATTTGATTAGCCGAAATGCGTATTTACAGATGAAGCAGATGAGCAAAAAGATAACTAATAGTGAATATACCCCGCCACCTTTTGAAAACAGAGTATTTACAACAATTAATAGTGAAAGCATGGCAAACAAAAATGACAATTTAGATGAAATGTGTTTAGTAGCCAAGCCAATATACTCCAGTTCACTTTGGATACAGGGTATGCACAAACCTACCGCCGCAGAGACACCGAAATTGACTTTAAAACAGTTGTTTTGCTTCAATTTTTGCGGCCCGTAGACCATATTGAGACTGCGGCGTAATGCAAACATTTCACAAACTGCAACAAATTTCTATGAATGAATCTTCTCCTTTTTTGTTGTTATTTTTTTTTTTTTTTCGAACACTAAGCGACAAAGCTCCCAATGGACTACACGTATTCCCGGCCAGTCACTGTGCTAAACTGATAACTACAGACCGGCGAGCACCGTTAGGCCGCCAACAATCTCTAATGCACCAATTACAAATGCGTTGCGCAATCGCTGTTATCACCGTTATATGGCCCACTAGACTGGCAGTCAGATAAGCGCCGTGTGTGTGTGCGCCAATGTTTTTATTTTCTCTAAAGTAAAACTAGTAATTTTTCTGTCTCGAAACAAATTTCACAAAAACTTCTAAGCTCAAACGAAAATACAAGTACGCCCAGGCCTGTAATCGTTATCGCATTTGCCGGCCAACAACATATGTAGATATGCCAGCCATTGGCATATTATGTCTCTCCCTTACTCTTATCGCTGGACTAACTGTTGCTTGCTGTTCTTTCTTCCCTTTTACGCGTGCCAAAAACTTTTCCATTAGTGAGCATTAAAATGACTTTTTTATGACAAGTTCATGGTCACACGCAAAACTGAAAAATTGTTGATAACCGCAGCTGATCTTTATCGATAACGATAGTTGGCACTCTGACATTGAACAGTGTTGTATAGTGGCGCCATTGAATGGTTTTGAATTGAGCGCCAGTGTGTCTGTTTTCAATTAGAAATTCTCTTATCAGATATTTTTATGAAATTGTATCAATTGAATTATTACACAACTATTCGCGCAGCTTGTCGCATCTGGCGCGTTTATATAAGCGACAAATGTGCTAAATTATCTATATTTAGATTGTCGCTTTGGTGTGTGTGTGGTGCATGCAAATTAATACAGATACGCGATACAGCCCAATAAGCTGCTGTTGCTAATTAGTTTCGGTGCTAGATGAGCAGCTCCTTTGCATGCCAAATAGCGAAATTTTGTCTGTACATAAATCACGCCATATACATGACTGAAGTAGGCACGCCCACAATTCTACGCTTTCGCCACAAATATATGTATATTATTTATTTACAATTAGTTCTTGCGGTTTTTTTTTACTGTACACTATCAGTGGGAGTAGCGGTTTCTGATAAGATTTGGCATTGTTAATATGTTTTCTACGTGCTGAACAAGCGTATGTTACAATGCGAGCCCCTTGAGAATTATACTCGAACAATCGTTGTCTAATGAAAAAAAAGTGACAATGCAAATATGTGTTTAAACTTTGAACGTTAGCTAGAGAAGTGGAAGAAGAAGAAGAGGAGCAGAAGGGGAAAGTTAAGCTAAGCACAGGTGGCAACGTGTAAATTATTCTCTCTCTTTATACATATACATAAAATATATCTTGCTCTCACTCTTTTCAGATTTTCTTCTATGCCAAGAAACCGGCTGTGCTTTAGAAAGCCAACAAAATAAACAAGCAAAGTGAATTGCATATAAGCAATGAATATGTATGTGTGCGAGCATTTCGATATATAGACACACACACACTTTTATACACACGTATGCATATGAATGTGAACATGTGTCCCACAGATTTTTGTTTTTTTTTTTTTGGTTTTTGTATTTTTTTATTTGTGGGGAAAGTTCAACACGAAGGTGAAGCAAAGGCGCAACAAAAGCCACAAAGTTTTAAGTCAAAGGTTATTCGTAGTTTAAACATACGTAATTTATTCATTTAATCAGAGCTAAATACTTTAACCACATATTAACAAACGGAATTTTAGATCAACGATATGCGCACACATATTGTGCAGCTCTAATTGGCATTTATTGCAAGTCAGCATTATGTGATATTCGTATTTTGTTCTAACTAGATAAATGCAACAGCGAGAGCTTTCGATTGTCATCTGATAATTAGCACTTTTATATAATATAATTTTCGACAATTTCTTACCTTTGAGTAGTATTGAAAAAACTGACTTGCCGGTGATTAAAAAACGAACACTAAACTTTTTACTGCAGACCGCAAGATGGCGAACCACTCCCAATCAGACTCAACGTAGAACTGATTGGAAACGACAACAATGGTGGGCAAGAAGTGGTCTGACGATGTGTGTGCGCGCGTGTATAAAGATAAGCCGCTAGATAAATACAAGTTTGGCGGCCAGCTGTTCGCCAAAATGCTAGCTTGACTTTGAGCAGTGTGGCAGCGCCGTGTGCTTTCAATGAATGCAGTGCTGTAGCAGGCAGCTATTTTGCTTTTGCTCAAAGACGTTAAAGCTTTGAAATTGGTTTCAATTTGAATTTGTAGCTTAAAGTGAGCTTTGAGTTTTTAGATGGCGCAGTGGACGCTTATATTAAAAAGAAGATTTTATAAAATGAAAACAAATGAGAATGCGATTCTAATTGAAGTTTGTCTTCATTTGTTTCCTTAGCTAAAGATGCAACGTTAGTTATCTAGTACAATAAATTAAAATAAAATAAAATTTTCAATAAATTAAGCTCAGCAATTTTGTCCCAAATCTGAACTTTCTATTGTCCCATAATTCTTTTCGCTTCATTCTCTTTCATTTTGCAGATTGATTTGCCATCAAAATTGAATTTTTTCTCATGTGCCGTAAAAGTGAAATGTGAAGCTATTAAATCTTAACGTAGTAAATAAAAAAATGGATGTGCAAATAAAAATGATTACCTCTAACACAGCTAGACTTGATATTTTTTCTAGACATTTTTTATTGCATTTTTAATGTGCGAAAGTGAAGTGAAGTGCAAAATATGCTTAAGGCGTATAAATAAATGAAGACAAATAAAATTAACAGCCGCAAATTAATGCAAGGCAAAGTAAATAAAGACACTAAAGAAAATTTGATATGCAAATTAATTCTTAGACAAACAAGATTTACAAAAATAAATACAAATATTTTAAAGTATTTTTCTCCCATTTCTTTTGTACAGTAAAGACTCGCTTGGCGACAATGTTTATGGTTTTTTTTTTCTTTTTTCTTCTTTAATGAAAGAAAAAAGTTGTCTAATTGGCTGGACAGCATGTGCCGCTTTCTATTGTCCAATTAGATAATCGTTGGAGCCGTACTCAAATTGTTATATAATCTAATTATAACAGGCTTCAATTGCATTAAATAACAATTTCGTTTTATAAAATAAGAAATAAATTCAAGCTATTTGACTCGATGTTAAATGCGCGCGTGCCGGCGAAACTCTTGCTTTACAGGTGACAATTTGACAGGTAGACAGACAGACATGCCTTCCCGCCTGCTCGCCGCCCCACCCCCCTATCGCCGGTGGCCTCGTGTCAATGAACGTGAAATTGAGCATTAAGTACCAGCAGCTGTCTCTAGCCACTTGGCTACCTGGCCGGCTACCTGGGCTACCCGTTCATTTAAGTGCGTGCCTTGTTTCTACAAGCATAAATTTGGTATTTGTTCATTTTGATTGTTATGTAAAARCTGAAATGAAATGAAATGAAAAACAAGTAAACTGATTTTATTTTCTAAACAGCACACATAAAACAAAACGAAATAAAGTAACAAAAATGAAAAGTAAAAGTCAACGCAGAAGCTATGCTAAAATATATTTTGGCTAAAAATAGTTTTGTTTTTCGGGGTTCGCTTTCTGAAAGTGAGCCTGAAAAGCTGAAAACAATTTGCATAAATAACACAAAAAACCAACGTAAATTTGGTAAAGCATCTTTTGGTTTTGTTTTTTGCTGTTTCTCTAAACTCTGTATATTTTTAGAGAGGGGGAGAGGGATGCATAGATGTTTAGTTTGCTTTTGTTTGTCTGCCACACACAGCGACTTTGACTTTGACTTTTCACTTGTTACACATACGCCCCGTGGTGCGCTGCGAATTTTGAGTAATGAATTATTTGGCCAGGGCAGACGGGCAGCTGGAGAAATGGTTTTTAGTTATCTTTGTTTGTCTCTCTCTCTCTCTCTCTCTCTCTCTTTCTCTCGCTTAAGCTGTGACTGCACGCCTGCAATAATAAATTACTTCCTGGGCAGCAGCAGCGGCAACTGCTGCTGTTACCATTCTGAAGACGTGCAGCAGCTAAGCAAGACAGCGCAGACAAAAAAAAAATATTACTTTTAATTATATTGAATGGAGAAAGTCAATTTCGTCAAAGTCTGACGCTGTCTGCGGCTGTATCTTTGGCTTTTGTGCGCCATTTCTAAAGACGCAGCTGTCAGTCAGTCACTCAGTCAGTCAGTCATTCAGTCAGTCAGTCAGCGAGTCGGTTAGCCAGTTTCCATTTCAACTGCTTTCAGCTTATCTTTGTGGAGCGTCGTCGCATTCTTTTGAGGCGTCTCCAGCACGTCGCCCCTCCCTCTCCCTCTCTCCCTCTCTCTCTCTCTCTCTTGTCGGCTGCTGTGGCTTTTGACTGCTCTCCGGTTACACTTGATATTTTTTAATCGTATTGCCGATCATGTGGCATGTGTGGCACATATATCTCTATATATATGTATACTTTTCTTTCATTTCACCAAGTCTGTCTAAATGCAAATGTCGTGCGTCAGCTGAGAATGATATGATATACCCTGTAGGCAACAGGTGTGTGAAGGGGTGGCTTAAAATTAGCTGTAAGGTTGCTTAAGTTAATGGGGATATTTATTTGATATACTTAAGGTATTAATATTTATTATAAAT